CCGTGTATGGCGGACACTTTCGGTCCTCGGAGGGAGTCAAAAACTTTGCATATTATAAACAACCTTGAGCTTAACTGATTTCAAAAAAAAATTATTTCTGACGGATAAACGTATTCACCTAGACTATACCCCTATTTTACCGCCCGAAATCGTACGAAACTTATTGTTTCATGAATGTTTCATCCGAAAATATGAACATTAGTCACAAAATTTCATCAAAGTATTACAAGTTATCAATCAGTGAGAAAATTAGGCACTAGTACTTTTATTTTTCAATAAAATTGATAAACTAATTAAAATTAGTAATTCAGGACATGATTAATCGAAAAAAAAGACAAAAAAAAAGCAAAAAATGTGGGACTCATTAAGAGTTTTAGAAAAGAAGTGTATGAACAATTTTAAAAAATTGACCATTTCCTCCCAATTTACGAAAAAGGCCTTTTCAAGGGCTTTTTTTATTGTTATTATTAGATGCGTCGGCGCTTGGAATACAAAAAACAATTAGGAAAGTTTGATCTGCGCATTTATATCTATTTGTTTTAAAAAAATAGCCGCTAGTACGTCAACAATTACTTCGTGAACGTAAACAGAAGCTGTTTGCAGTTTCTCTGGGAGTGCTAGCCCCAATAAAAGGTGCCGTCGGGTAAAGAGTAAGACAGCCCATGGTTACGCCGATAAGGATGGGGGGGGGACAAAATGTTAAAATGGTAATACGTTAATTTTTTTGCTAAAGAATTTCGAGTAAATTGTTCCATCTGAGGATCTGTGCAATAGATCGATCTGAAATTTGATATATGTAAAAGTGGAACTGGACAATTCTAACTATGAACTAAAGTTTCAAATGTTTTCAGTGACTTTTGGATGCTTCGGTGTGAGAGGAGTGGGGTTCGAGTATTAGTGCGCCATAAGAGAAGCACGCTGGCGCACCCGAGTGGAAATTCCAGTCAGGTCTTGATCAAGTTTGGATCAGGTTAGACCTAAGCACTGATCAGGTATTGATCAAGTTGATGGATCCGGTCTTGATCAGACATGTTACGCCTCTAACCAATCCGGATTTGATCAGGACGAATGGATGCGAACTTGATCAAGTCAACTGTATGAAAACCGGATGACCTGTCTGTCAGTATCAATAAAAATTATCAATGATAATTAATCCAAAACAAAAGATAATTCAATTCTTTCACCGTAGGTCGCCTCTCTTAATGAATCTCTACTGTTATTACCTCTGAAAAAGCTTATTATTGTTTTACCGATGCTGGGGATCTAACCGGGTGTCCGCACTTTTTTCCTTTGGAAAAAATTTTTTGGAAAAAATCTCTCGGAAACATACTTTTTTTTCAAAATTATTTGGCAAATTTTTTTTTGGAAATAATTTTCCGGTATTAATTTTTTTGGGAAAAAATAACTTTTTTAGGGAAATAATAACTTGTCCAGTCACATTTGATTGTAATTCTTTCTTTTTTTATTGCGGAAAATAATAATTGTTGATAACTGTGAATATTATAATAGTCGAAAAAATATTAATGTGAACGAATATCACTTGAATTGTGTTAATGGAAATAATTTTGAGCTCACGAAATTCCCAAGGATACATATATATTTGGGTATTAGCCACGGCACAATATAAACACTACACGAAACAGTGTCATAAGTGGGGGAAATTAATCTCCAGTCGATTGTCGCTATCCCTTCCAACGTCAATTTTACTATCGCACCATTCAATACATTTCCAGCTAGGATTCTATTTTTTTTTCTGACATTTTTTCCAAGGAAGTAAAAAAAAAGGAATTAAATTCCGGGAAGAAAATTTTCCCAAGTAATTTTTTCCGAAACAAAAAATTCCCAAGTAATTTTTTCCGGAAAAAAATAATTCCGGGAAATTTTTTCCGGAAGTTTTTTTCCTTAGGGAATAAGTGCGAGAACCCAGAAATTGATCTGAATCATCCTGCAGTTTTGCGGATCCGATCTACTGGATCGAAACTTGGTCAGGTTCTCATCAGGCATCATCTGATCATGTCTACCTGATCAGAACTTGATCTGAACCCGCCTGTAGTTCTTCGGATCCGATCTGCTGGATCAGAACGTCAGGTTCTCATCAGGCATCATCTGATGATGTCTACCTGATCAGAACTTGATCTGAACCCGCCTGTAGTTCTTCGGATCCGATCTGCTGGATCAGAACGTCAGGTTCTCATCAGGCATCATCTGATGATGTCTACCTGATCAGAACTTGATCTGAACCCGCCTGTAGTTCTTCGGATCCGATCTGCTGGATCAGAACGTCAGGTTCTCATCAGGCATCATCTGATGATGTCTACCTGATCAGAACTTGATCTGAACCCGTCTGTAGTTTTTCGGATCCGATCTGCTGGATCAAAACTTGGTCAGGTTCTCATCAGGAATCACCGGATCAGTTGAACCTTACAAAAACCTGATCCAGTTCTGATCGTGCTTCAGCTGAGCCTGCAGCAATTTCCACTCGGGCACGCACATCACTACGAACGGCGAAAAGTGGGGCACTGAGAGACAAAGCAAAGGGTTAAAGCACGCAAAAGTGAATTTTGATCAAAGAAATGAAAAAATAGTAATATCTCAAAATTTCTTGAGAACGGATATTTCTATAGTTTGATTTAAATATAGATAGATAGGATCAGGAGCGACCAGTAATTTTTGATATATTGAGCAAGAGAGTTGGACATACAAAGTTGAATATCTCTGAAATTACTGCTCCGATTTCGTTCATCGAGACTACCAAACTTTGTTGTTATAAGCCCTAAAGTCTTATCAATTTTGAAGTTTCTGCCTCGATTATTTTTCAAGTTATCATGCGTACAAGCAATTTGAGCGTAAAAATGGAAAATGAAAAATAAAACTACATTGCTCGGGGTGAGATCATCTTTGTTCAATTTAATTGAATAGGTATCATCATGATGAGTATTTTGAAAAAAATTCGATTAGCCCAATGGTTCAGGAATGGAAAAGAACTATTTTCGAGGAATCGTTATATCTGGGAAATCATTCAACCGATCGAGCTGGGATTTAGCACAATTTTAAATCTCACTAGTAACAATTAGTAGCCAAAATTTTAATATGTTCGTAATAACCATTCTCGAGCTATTGACACAGTTCTGAACATATAGACCCATATGCACACACACATACATACATTTCTTAAAAACATAATTTCTTCATGTTTCACATATTTTTATGCATTTCCACTCAAAGTTAATAAATCGAAAAAAATTATAATTACCAAGCTCCCATTCTAAAGCAAAAATGTGGGAAAACTTTTTCTGTAGTCCATTTCTTGATAAAGCTTCCTACAAAAGAAGTCTTCTGCACCCATCAGGAATAAAATCGATATGATCCAAGTCTAAGAATGCGACTGGATGTAGGTTGATTGAATAAAGTCAAGAATCGACTCATTTATGTGCCGTTCACATATTAAATACATAAGAGGATCTTCGACTATTTTGAATATCATCTCTCCCCTGAGATCTTACGTAAGATGGTAGGAACTTGAATGAAAAATTGGATTGACGATAGGAGCAGTTGGCAACCTTGTCTTTGTGTTAAGTTTTACGTTTGACCATTGACCTTAATTCTGACACTGCTCAATCACTCTTTCCCTTCGTATTTAGGCCTTAGGCTTGGCTCTTATTCATAACTCTTTGACCCTGTTCTTCATCCTTGTGCTTGACTGTTACGCTTAATCCCCATACTTGATTTTTATGTTCTCTTGCCCATTACCCTCATATTTATATCCTGGTCCACTCCTTACGTAAGATTCTCATTACACGGACTCCCCGCATAAGGAGAAGTAAGAAACTCTCGACCCCCTCGCCGCCCTAAAAATCTTGCGTAATATATGGACAGACCCTTTCAGGTCTCTGGAGATACGTTAAATGAAGTCGGGTAAAAAACTGGCGGGTCGATGGGTACCTTCATCCGAGTAGGGTTCGGCTTGATGAAAATCGTGGAGTATTCTCAGCCATGATTCAAGTTACAGTCTACGTGATCCGTGTCTGTTTACTCGAATCAATTCAATTGCAAATTTCCTAGTCATGGTGAACCGGACGTTCGGATTAATCGGGTTCCAGTGGTCCGACTTGATACAAACCGATTATCTACTTGAACTGAGTCTTTATTTTTGCGATCGTGATTTTTCTTTTTTAGATAACTCACTAACGATATAATTTAGAAGTCAATTAAAATTCCCCACGGAGAACATGGTTTGGTGAATTTCACCAACTAGTTGGTGAAATTTAACAACTAATTAATTAAAACTCATAAAAAGATCTTTCAATTTCATTCAACAACCATTTGTTAAATTTTCAATGAACGTTCGTCGATTCATTTGATGGATCAAATTTAGTAAGGAATTGTAGATTATAACGAAAATATCTTCTAGGGGAGACATTGATCGATTGTCAAGATGTAAATGATTGCGGGATTATTATTTCACAATTTATTATTATTATTATTATTATTATTATTATTATTAGTGCAAAATTTTTATTTTTACGTTGAAAACGAAGGTGTAACAGCGTGAATAAATTCAGCTATTCTGATCTCGGTGGCTTCACCTTTTTTCCTATGTTCATGTGACAGTATTTTTATGAAAGAAAATCTTCAAATGTCAAAACACAAATAGAGTGGAAAGCACAGAATGACTCACGAAATAAACGATAATATACAGATTTTTACTGAACTTATTTATCAACTTTTTCTCTGAAAATCGGTCTTTTAATGATTCTTCACAACATGACAATCAAACTTGTGTGATCATGCATTTTTTTCTGCGTGAGCTTGTAAGGAATTCCTTTAAAGGTATGGTGAAATGAAGTGAATAAATTCTTCCGTTCTGTTCTCCTTGGCTTCAACTCCCTTTCCTCTGCTCTTATGTGAATATTTTTATGGAATGCAAGTTTTCTCCAAATATCAGAGTACAAATAAAGAAGACATTACAACGTGACTGACAAAATAAATAATGAACTCACATTTTTTCATTGATGACGTTTTGCCTCCAGTATTTGCTTTTATAAAAGCACATCTTCAACATCGGTGAACTCGTTGATTGTGCGCTCCGTCGGATGAAACACAGGCGTCAATACTGGCCTTGATTCCAGTTGTATAGACTCCCTGGTTTGATTCGATCTTGATGCAAGACTCGATAAAAGACTCTCTTGTACCGTATCATTTCCATTGCACAGCTTTTCACTTCTGTAAGCCTCGGTTGTTCGTGGAGTGCTGTTTCTCGGTTTTATGAATGGTAGTACCTACAATGTGAAATTGTCAATAATAAGACACGAGATAAAATTGAATTTTTGTTAAATTAATTCACTTAAACTGATAATATATGTCGATTAAAAGCGTAAATAGATCATGTTTACAAGAACATATCCAAAATCTCCAATAAAAAGAGAATTTCAAACAACGCGCTCATTTATTCCGTACGCAAAAAAGTATTCTCAAATCAACCTCCATTCCTTCGGAAAACATTGACAGTTTCGGAAGAGAAACATTCTGTATCGATCGCGCTTGCTGAAAACATTTATTTTCTTTGAATAATTCTGTAGGGAAATGGAGAGAAGACATCAACATTTTGGGAGTGAAGAGATTCAAGATAATCAATCGGAAAACCTTTCTTCGGAGCCCACGAAAATTCGCAAAAAAGGCGGCCTCTTCATCTTTTTTTTCCCTCGAATCCCATCTCACCCAAGATATATTCAGAATGATACACCAATTTTCTTTAACCTTTGCCTTGAACTTTGAACTCGATTATTTATTATTTTCCTTTGATTTGTACAGATACATTTTTTTCTCCGATTTCACCACTCTCTTTGTTTCTTTATACTGCATTTCGTGTAATACAAAGAGTAAATTTGGAGAAATAATTCGGTTGATCTAGCCGGTTTCGTACTTGATTTCTATAGGGATCATAGAACATTACCCAAAAAACTGATTCAAGTCGATGTCGGCTTAATTCTAGTTGATTTTCGACTCGATTCAAGTCGACCCTAGTAGAAATTTCATGGTACAAAAACATTGCGGCGTGAGTTGGCGTGCGACATTCAATATTACTGGCACAGGCCCTTTAACTCAATGTCGCAGAATGTCGATCAATTTCTACTAGGGATGTGACTAGCCAATCCTGATTCCGGGTCTCATATGAGTCGAAAAGTGGTTCATTTCAAGAAAAAACGTGTCAAGCCCCCTTGTAGAAATTTTGGCTGGCGGGACGACTTTACCTGCCGGGGCGACAGTGGGTGGGCGGGCGTCGCCCGCGCGTGTCGAACTTCGCTCTTTCGAACGCATAAGGGCGAACTTCAATCAGGCTTTATTGTTTTTGTTCAGTCACGTGGAGGTAGGGGAGACGTTATCGAATAAGTGAAGGATATCTGGGAATTATCAATAATCGAGATGCATGATGATGAAGTTATTAATGATCTTCGTTTGTTGGCGATTTGTTCGAAACACCCTGATGTGTATGTGGGAAAGTTACTAAAAATTTAAAAGAAGAAACATTTACCATGAGTGCCAGTGACAGCAAGTACTTTTTGGGCACATCATCAGTTCATCACTAGATTAAAACTATTCCTGATGCAGATGAAAAGATAATGGGAGAATTTGTTCATCTGGTAATGGAGGAAAACATCCGTGCAGTGGTGGATTCAAATTATCTCTTTATTTCCAATGCAAATGATTTTAAGAGAAAATCTTGCCAAATCGTTTCGAAAGCCGGATACGGTGCGAAGTAGTAATAGAAATTTTTGTTCTTCTTTTGCTGACTCTTCTCATCTGATTGATAGATTAGTGTAAAACAGTTTCCGCCACGGCGGACTCAAAGTCAGATTTCCCTTCCGCGAAGCCGTGACGGAGAATAATTTGTTGACCACGGGACGTTAAATAACTCTCACCCACGTGCTTACCACCCTCGCCTTCGGCTCGAACCCTGATCCCAGGTAGAAAATGCCAGTGTTGGAAAAACGGACCAAGTCTGGCACAAGACTGGGGTTGCCAGGGCTGGGCGGCCAAGCTTCGACCGAGGTTCGGCCATGCCTGGGGACCAGGGCTTGACCCTCGGGAGAAGGGCAGGTAACCGAGCCTTGGTTGATAGATCTGGCCCAGCCTTGGCCGAACATTGGTATGGCGGAGCTCGATAATCAAGCCCCAGCCAGCGGTGGCCCGGAGCTTGCTCATTGGGCTCCAGCTGTTGCTGTAATTGTAAGGGTTAAGTCGGAAGGGTAAGATGAGAATGGAATCATAGGCGTAGAATCATAAGGCTAGTATCTGAAGGGTAAAATTGTAAAGGTTAAATCACAATAATGGAAAGAGGCGAAAAAATCATAAGGCTGACATTGTGAGGGTTGAACGGTAAGGCCGGAATCTTGAGGGTAAAATTTTAAGGGTGTAATCGTAAAAAAATGATGATATTGTAGGTATTGAAGTCACATGTTATTCGCTAATTATTACGAAAAGAAGAAGAATTGTCATTCAACATTAATCATCATTGTTATAATTATTTTTGTAATTAATAATTATTATTATTGTTATTCATTATTGAATTAATTTACCGATCAAACTATAGCTGAATCACTTAATATCTCTATCAACTGAATAATAAAACATTCAAGTCGAAAAAAACCGAGATGGAATTAATGTGGACGATTTAAAGTAGAGGTTTTACGAATTGCGCGGTAGGCTAGTGGTTAGGGCGTCGGATTAGTAGTCGTGAGGTCGTGGGGTCGAGCTTAGAGTAATATTTTAAGTTAACAAAATCGGTTTTTCAGCGATGATTGCGTTAGGGTTTGGTAGGTAGGACGCAATTAAAACTAAGAATCATCCTAAAAAAAGTTAATGATCTTGTTTTTGTTATTATTGATAATTGTCATGGACTGTTTGGTAACCAGCCGGACGCCAATCGCATGCCGGTATTGATTTTTTGTCTTCCTTGAACCTGTTACAAATGCTCAGGAGTAAGATTGAATTACTTGTATTTCAATCACTAATATCATATTCATGTAATTAAGTAATATTTAATTGAGCCTGACCAACGACTGGCAACCAATGGTGGGCCATTGGTTTATAAAGAATTTCAAGTCGTAGTACAACCTACTACCACACCACACTACCACAAGTTTATAAAGAATTTCAAGCGGTACCCCGAGTCGAATATTAGGACCTGAATTCCTCCTTGAACACCTATCATGAGTAGGAGGACCAGGATGAAGTTAGGGTGTATTTACATTCAGAAAGACCCCCTGGTTTCCGCCTGAACGTGCGAGTTATTTCCAAATTCCGAGGGTTCAGGAGGAAAACAGGTGTGTTAAACCTATTTATCGCCTGGACTCCCTAAAATGTTTTCCACTCCATCCCTCCTGGAAAGAGCCTACAAACAGATCATCCTGGCTATCAGGGTTAATTCAGGAGATTTATGATTCCTTTTCATTCGACAGGAGGAGAAGGGGGAAAAAAGTATCAGTTGAGAAGGGTTTTTACGCCTTTAGGATGAGGCAGGATCATATAAGGAGTTATTCAGGATGTATAGGATGAAGAAAGGAGGAAAAAATATCTCAAGAAGGTAATAGGGGGAATAAGGTCCAGATATACGACTTGAGGAGGTAATAGGGGAGAATAAGATCCAGATATTCGACTCGAGAAGGTAATAGGGAGGAATAAGGTCTAGATATTCGAATCGGGACACTACGTAAGATATTTCTTGAGGCGAAATAAGTACATATGTTAGTACAAATAGGCCCACCATTGGTTGCCCGAGATCGGCGCCCAGGCTTGGCCCCATGTTATTATTCCAGGTTTCAACCAAGTCCGGTGCGGTCCCGGCGGAAGAACGGACCCCGAAGTTCGGCAGTCAGGCCGCCGGGCTTGGACCGAGCCCGACCCATTCGTTTTTTCCTACTTGGGATGTGCTCGTCTTCGGCTCGGGTAGTAATTCTGCACGTGGGCACGATTTCTTTATTTTCCGTCCCTAGGTAGGGAATAGACTCTTACAACTTAACAATTAAAGCAACAAATAAATTATTTAATAAATGAGTTATTTTTTTCGAGGTTATGGTGACCTGTCAAATAAGATATTGGGCATTTTTTTGTAATTATAAGTCAGGCCTTGCCCACCGTCACCCGAGTAGAAATTTCGTTGGGAGCCCCCAACGTGCAGTGGGAACCTATGAGTTTATTGCGGGTTACTGACTCGTAGGTTGTACTAGTCCATACGCAATACCCCCTTCCCGTGGTCACTAGGAGGTCGATGGAATTTTATCATTGGATTTTATGTTTTTGGAGGTGAGGAATCCGAATATGTTATTTATTTTGTCCTCCCGTCGCGCAATCATTTGTTATAAACAAAATAGTCCCCATTTTTAGTGAATAAATGTTCTTCCGGGAAAACAAAGAGATACAGAAAAATTGTTCTAACAAAAGTTATTCCTCTTTTTTTCACCAATAAAATGATGTTTGACTTGTCGAAATCGGTACAATACTTCCCGAGATGCAGGCTAAAGAGTGAGCGCGGGTGGATAGACTGCGCGGACGACGGGTGAGTATGGGCGCGGAGCAGTGTATCTAAACGAATATCGTTTGTGTTTGCATACTGCACTGCGCTGAAAAAATTTTATAAACATATGATGTTGAACAATGTGTAAATCGTGTTCAGTGCCTTCCTTTACCATGTTTCGATCTACGATATTCACTCAGATATAAACGAAAATGTGATTTTTTTTTCTTTTTCTACGTATATAAATCGATTCTTAACATTGGGCATGCTTTTCCAAAGCAATTAATGAGTTATTCATCATTGACAAATTGTTAATAATAATTAGATGAATAAATAATCATGCAAGTTTTTGATGGGTTACAACCTACGTGTAACTTGTGAGGTAACTGCGTGACGTTTCCGTGAGTTCCTTGTAGGTTGAAACCTATGTGGAACCGGTGACCATGCCGGTTGCAACTGATAGGTAACTAGGATGATAAACCGACGAAATTTCTACTCGGGCACTCGTCTCACTATTTTTTCACAATTTCACGCTAATTTTTCCCCCCGACGGCAAACCAGAGGGAGAGGCATATGCTTTGGACGGTCCATAACACGCCTCTTCGATATCGGTGTTTGGACGAAACTACATGGAAAACGATTTGAAAAAATGAATCTTTGTATGAGTAATAAAGAGAACTTTGATTAAGTACTTCGTTTTCCTACAAAATGCATTCACTGCAAACCCAAGTGTGTAAACCCCTATGTCATTTAAACACACTACAC